ATAGTTAGCATGGCTATCACTGCCCCTACATGGTTAGCATGGCTATCACTGCCCCTACAGTTAGGGACTCGTTTCCCACTGGGTTCAGCTTCACAATCATGGTAGGACAGTTTCATTTGATTTATTCTACTCAGGCTACTGGTAAGCCCTCAGCCCGTCAAATGTTGAATGGGCAATTTTATTGTCATTACTGTTACTATATTGTAGAAATTTTGCAAATTTAGTAATAAAATGTCACAGGGGATGGTATGGGGATGGGGGATTGTCATTTAAGAAGAGGGATGATTTTTAAGATTTTATTTAAGGAGGGGGATGCCACCCGCCCTCAGCTCGAATTCTGGCTCTGGTGAATTTCAATGGTGAAGTCCTCTGGAAATCTTCAATAATTGTTGTTGATTGCAGATGTGTCTAGTAGTTCCGATTGATTTTGCTTGCAAAGCGGGGAGAATGGCGCTAGGCTTACCGCACCGTGACGTCACTGCTGGAAGATGGCAGGAGGGAGGGGCTACTATATTTGAGCTCCCAGACTCAGTGAGGAAAATTATTACTGTGAACTCTTAGTTTTAGGTATAAATAATGATCCAGTGATTATTCCTGGCTGATGGGACTTTTCCTTTAATTTTCCCACAGTTCCTCCTCTGATCAAAAGCTTTTAGCTAAAACCATGGAAGGAACTAAATAAACCATTCCAGGAAGGTACAATCTGTGGTTCTGATCCAGGGTTTAGATTTTTATCAAAAACAAGCAAAATGTTTGCTACCATCGGCCCAAAGAAACAACAGAAAGACACAAAAGCAAATGCTGGTGGGAGACCAGTTGATTATACATGTTTAAATCCTCCTGCTATATCCTCTCTGCATTCAACCCGTCCCCTCGGCCGGGGGCGGATTTAGGGAGTTTGGGTAGAAATGTTGGCTATAGAAATGTTGTTGGTAGAAATGTTGGCTATAGAAATGTTGGCTATACAAATGTTGGCTGTAGAAATGTTGGCTGTAGAAATGTTGGCTATAGAAATGTTGGCAGAAATGTTGGTAGAAATGTTGGCTGTAGAAATGTTGGTAATAGAAATGTTGGTAGACATGTTGGCTGTAGAAATGTTGGTAGAAATGTTGGCTGTAGAAATGTTGGTAATAGAAATGTTGGTAGACATGGTGGCTGTAGAAATGTTGGTAGAAATGTTGGCTGTAGAAATGTTGTTAATAGAAATGTTGGTAGACATGTTGGCTGTAGAAATGTTGTTAGAAATGTTGGCTATAGAAATGTTGGCAATAGAAATGTTGGTAGACATGTTGGCTGTAGAAATGTTGGTAGAAATGTTGGCTGTAGAAATGTTGGTAATAGAAATGTTGGTAGACATGTTGGCTGTAGAAATGTTGGTAGAAATGTTGGCTGTAGAAATGTTGTTAATAGAAATGTTGGTAGACATGTTGGCTGTAGAAATGTTGGTAGAAATGTTGGCTATAGAAATGTTGGCAATAGAAATGTTGGTAGACATGTTGGCTGTAGAAATGTTGGTAGAAATGTTGGCTGTAGAAATTATTGGTAGAAATGTTGGCTGTAGAAATGTTGGTAGAAATGTTGGCTGTAGAAATGTTGGTAGAAATGTTGGCTGTAGAAATGTTAGTAATATAAATATTGGTAGACATGTTGGCTGTAGAAATGTTGGTAGAAATGTTGGCTGTAGAAATGTTGGTAATAGAAATGTTGGTAGACATGTTGGCTGTAGAAATGTTGGTAGAAATGTTGGCTGTAGAAATGTTGGTAATAGAAATGTTGGTAGACATGTTGGCTGTAGAAATGTTGGTAGAAATGTTGGCTGTAGAAATGTTGTTAATAGAAATGTTGGTAGACATGTTGGCTGTAGAAATGTTGGTAGAAATGTTGGTAATAGAAATGTTGGTAGACATGTTGGCTGTAGAAATGTTGGTAGAAATGTTGGCTGTAGAAATGTTGGTAATAGAAATGTTGGTAGACATGTTGGCTGTAGAAATGTTGGTAGAAATGTTGGCTGTAGAAATGTTGTTAATAGAAATGTTGGTAGACATGTTGGCTGTCGAAATGTTGGTAGAAATGTTGGCAATAGAAATGTTGGTAGACATGTTGGCTGTAGAAATGTTGGTAGAAATGTTGGCTGTAGAAATTATTGGTAGAAATGTTGGCTGTAGAGATTTTGGCTATAGAAATGTTGGCAGAAATGTTGGTAGAAATGTTGGCTGTAGAAATTATTGGTAGAAATGTTGGCTGTAGAGATTTTGGCTATAGAAATGTTGGCAGAAATGTTGGTAGAAATGTTGGCTGTAGAAATGTTGGTAGAAATGTTGACTGTAGAGATTTTGGCTATAGAAATGTTGGCAGAAATGTTGGTAGACATGTTGGCTGTAGAAATGTTGGTAGAAATGTTGGCTGTAGAAATGTTAATAGAAATGTTGGTAATAGAAATGTTGGTAGACATGTTGGCTGTAGAAATGTTGGTAGAAATGTTGGCTGTAGAAATGTTGGTAATAGAAATGTTGGTAGACATGTTGGCTGTAGAAATGTTGGTAGAAATGTTGGCTGTAGAAATGTTGTTAATAGAAATGTTGGTAGACATGTTGGCTGTAGAAATGTTGGTAGAAATGTTGGCTATAGAAATGTTGGCAATAGAAATGTTGGTAAAAATGTTGGCTGTAGAAATGTTGGTAATAGAAATGTTGGTAGACATGTTGGCTGTAGAAATGTTGGTAGAAATGTTGGCTGTAGAAATGTTGTTAATAGAAATGTTGGTAGACATGTTGGCTGTAGAAATGTTGGTAGAAATGTTGGCTATAGAAATGTTGGCAATAGAAATGTTGGTAGACATGTTGGCTGTAGAAATGTTGGTAGAAATGTTGGTTGTAGAAATTATTGGTAGAAATGTTGGCTGTAGAGATTTTGGCTATAGAAATGTTGGCAGAAATGTTGGTAGAAATGTTGGCTGTAGAAATGTTGGTAGAAATGTTGGCTGTAGAAATTTTGGCTATAGAATTGTTGGCAGAAATTTTGGTAGAAATGTTGGCTGTAGAAATGTTGGCAATAGAAATGTTGGTAGACATGTTGGCAATAGAAATGTTGGTAGAAATGTTGGCAAAGAAATATTGGTGTTAGATATGTTGGCTATAGAAATTTTGATTATAGAAATGTTGTTGATAGAAATGTTGGTATAAAATTTGGCTATAGAAATGTTGGTGGTAGAAATGTTGGCTATAGAAATATTGGCTGTTGAAATATTGGCTATAGAAATGTTGGCAGAAATGTTGGCTGTAAAAATTATTGATAGAAATGTTGGCTGTAGAAATGTTGGCTATAGAAATGTTGGCAGAAATGTTGGTAGAAATGATGGCTGTAGAAATGTAGGTAGAAATGTTGGCAGAAATGTTGGTAGAAATGTTGGCTGTAGAAATGTTGGTAGAAATGTTGGCTGTAGAAATGTTGGTAATAGAAATGTTGGTAGACATGTTGGCTGTAGAACTGTTGGTAGAAATGTTGGCTATAAAAATTATTGGTAGAAATGTTGGCTGTAGAAATGTTGGTAGAAATGTTGGCAGAAATGTTGGCTGTAGAAATGTTGGTAGAAATGTTGGTAGAAATTTTGGCTGTAGAAATTTTGGCTATAGAAATGTTGGCCAAAATGTTGGTAGAAATGTTGGCTGTAGAAATGTTGGCAATAGAAATGTTGGTAGACATGTTGGCAATAGAAATATTGTTAGAAATGTTGGCAAAGAAATATTGGTGTTAAATATGTTGGCTATAGAAATGTTGATTATAGAAATGTTGTTGGTAGAAATGTTGGTATAAAATTTGGCTATAGAAATGTTGGTGGTAGAAATGTTGGCTATAGAAATATTGGCTGTAGAAATATTGGCTATAGAAATGTTGGCAGAAATGTTGGCTGTAAAAATTATTGATAGAAATGTTGGCTGTAGAAATGTTGGCTATAGAAATGTTGGCAGAAATGTTGGTAGAAATGATGGCTGTAGAAATGTAGGTAGAAATGTTGGCAGAAATGTTGGTAGAAATGTTGGCTGTAGAAATGTTGGTAGAAATGTTGGCTGTAGAAATGTTGGTAATAGAAATGTTGGTAGACATGTTGGCTGTAGAACTGTTGGTAGAAATGTTGGCTATAAAAATTATTGGTAGAAATGTTGGCTGTAGAAATGTTGGCTATAGAAATGTTGGCAGAAATGTTGGTAGAAATGTTGGCTGTAGAAATGTTGGTAGAAATGTTGGCAGAAATGTTGGCTGTAGAAATGTTGGTAGAAATGTTGGTAGAAATTTTGGCTGTAGAAATTTTGGCTATAGAAATGTTGGCCAAAATGTTGGTAGAAATGTTGGCTGTAGAAATGTTGGCAATAGAAATGTTGGTAGACATGTTGGCAATAGAAATATTGGTAGAAATGTTGGCAAAGAAATATTGGTGTTAAATATGTTGGCTATAGAAATGTTGATTATAGAAATGTTGTTGGTAGAAATGTTTGTATAAAATTTGGCTATAGAAATGTTGGTGGTAGAAATTTTGGCTATAGAAATATTGGCTGTAGAAATATTGGCTATAGAAATGTTGGCAGAAATGTTGTTAGAAATGTTGGCAATAGAAATGTTGGTAGACATGTTGGCTGTAGAAATGTTGGTAGAAATGTTGGCTGTAGAAATGTTGGCAGAAATGTTGGCAGAAATGTTGGTAGAAATGTCGGTTATAGTAATGTTGGCAAATAAATATTGGTGTTAGATATGTTGGCTATAGAAATTTTGATTATAGAAATGTTGGTAGAAATGTTGGTGGTAGAAATGTTGGCTATAGAAATATTGGCTGTAGAAATGTTGGTGGTAGACATGTTGATTATAGAAATGATAGTTATAGAAATGCTGTTGGTAGAATTGTTGGCTGTTTATCATTGATGGAACCAGGAGCCAAACAGCTTCCTTCTTTACGAGTCTATTAACAGCGTGCGCGTTCACGGTTGCGTCGCGCGCTCACACTGTGTCTGCTGTCACGAGCCTTATCCGACCGTGAGTGGAAGTGGGTAAATTATCACGGACATCACGCAGATTGCGGGCAGCTTTCAGAGCGAAACAAACGGGCAGATCCGCAGAGTTGTGCTGCTGCTTGGTGGGTGGAAGCCCGCAGAGTTCTGGCGCTCCTCCGCCGCTGAAGTTCGCTTCTGTTTGAACCTCGCAGCTAGCAGCTAAGCTAGCTGTTGGACTAGCTTAGCGGTCCGCCACAGTCCAGGAACACCAACGCTGTCTATCACTTCCACTCCGACACGGCGGTCAGTCCTCGCAGCGAAGCGGACCAACCAGTCCCCGACTAGAACCTCTACCACTCGGCCGCGGAGAGGAGGGAGTCCTACCGAGGTTCGGTTTGAATGAAGTGAGGCTAACTCGCCGTAGCCAGCTAACCGGGACTCCGCTGGACGCCGATCCAGCAGATGCTACTTGGACCCGCCGCACAGCCCAGGCCGTGTGACCGAACCGGGCTCTCCAGCTCCTTCTGAACGCCAGGTTGTCCCTCTTCTTCTCCGCCCCAGTTTGTCCAGAGAAGACCGGACCGAGGACAGGGAGCTGCAGCCATGCCGGCCGTGTCGAAAGGAGACGGGATGCGCGGATTAGCGGTTTTCATCTCGGACATCAGAAACTGTGAGTAGAACTGCCCAGGTCCACCTCAGCGGGACTAGGAGGACATGTCCTGCCCAGGTCAACCTCAGCGGGACCGGGAGGACATGTCCTGCCCTGGTCCACCTCAGCGGGACCGGGAGGACATGTCCTGCCCTGGTCCACCTCAGCGGGACCGGGAGGACATGTCCTGCCCCGGTCCACCTTTGCGGGACCAGTAGGACATGTCCTGCCCTAGTCCACCTCAGCTGGACTAGGAGGACATGTCCTGCCCCGGTCCACCTTTGCGGGACCAGTAGGACATGTCCTGCCCTAGTCCACCTCAGCCGGACCGGGAGGACATGTCCTGCCCTAGTCCACCTTTGCCGGACCAGGAGGACATGTCGTGCCCTAGTCCACCTCAGCTGGACTAGGAGGACATGTCCTGCCCTGGTCCACCTCAGCGGGACCGGGAGGACATGTCCTGCCCTGGTCCACCTCAGCGGGACCGGGAGGACATGTCCTGCCCTGGTCCACCTCAGCCGGACCGGGAGGACATGTCCTGCCCTAGTCCACCTTTGCCGGACCAGGAGGACATGTCGTGCCCTAGTCCACCTCAGCTCGTCTGCCTGGATGTGTGTTTCCTGGACTGGGCCGCCTTGTATCTAGGCTTCTTTTTCTATGTCTGCTTCTGTCTCCTTGAACCCCAGTGGGCCTCAGCAGATGGCCGCTCACACTGAGCCTGGTTCTGCTGGAGGTTTCTTCCTGTTCAAAGGGAGTTTTTCCTCTCCACTGTCGCTACAAGCATGCTTACTGTGAGGGATTGTATTTGAGTCAATGAGTCAATGCAATCAACTGGTTTTCCTGGGATAGAAAACTTTGTATCAATTTGACTGTATGATCTGGTGATCTGGAAAGTGCCTTGAGATGACGTGTGTTGTGAATTTGGCGCTATATAAATAAACTGAATTGAATTTAATTGGTCTTCAGCTGCAGGTTGGAGACGAGGCGCCTGGTTTTCTTGGTACTCCAGATTATTTGGAGCCGTTTGAGAGGTCATGGTGTGCAGCTGATAAGACGGTGGCCTTGGAGGGACACAGATTAGACGACCTGATCAGACCTTGGAGCTCATTTCCACGCTCTGAGTCTCCTCAATGTTTTTATTAAAACATTTCTGATCATACTAGACTTCATAGTTCTCTTTTCAGATTAAGGAAACAGGGATTTATAATCAGATGGAAACAGTGAGACCTGTACTATTAGAATGTAAAAAGTATTAGAGGAACATCAGCACTTAAAGTAAACATTAAATAGAGAGAAAATAGGATTTTCAATGTTACGTCTTTTAGGAAGTAAAAAAAATTCTGTTAGAAATCAATTAATTTGATTTTTAAAAACCACTGGATTATTTAATCACATTTAAAGTATGCATATAAATGTGTGTATGCATGTGCATATACGCATTTATCTGTGAGTGTGTATGGATATAAATCTGCACATCATTAAAGTATTATTAACTTCCGTCTGAAATCATTGATGACCACACAGTCTGGGAGGTGGCGATAAATGCACCTTAAGTTGTCATCTGCCAGTAAAAAACAAAAGAAGAAGAACATTTCTGGTCAAATCAAACAATAATCCCACAGTTCCACAGACGGCAGCTGCAGATCCCAATAAATGTTTGGATTAAGAGGCAGAGAGCCTTTCCCCTTGGAGGAAACGGCATCCATCCATCCATCCATCCATCCATCCATCCATCCATCCATCCATCCATCCATCCATCCATCCATCCATCCATCCATCCATCCATCCATCCATCCATCCATCCATCCATCCATCCAGAGCAGTGATCATTCCACCACTCCGCTGGAGATCAGCCTCCCACAGCTGAATGCTTCTACTGCCCTGGATTTCTACAACCAGGAAGGTTAGTCTGCTGGTAGAGAGCAGCTGCAGAGGACGGGTGATGCTGTGGGTCGGCTTCTGTTCTGCAGCTTTTCACAGCCTGCAGCTTTTGGCCCAGGGAGGGAAAAATGTGGCAAAATTAATGGAATCAACGCCTCTTTTTATTCGGTTTAATTTACTTGTTAAAAAGCAGATACATAAAACTAAAATCGTTTCAAACAGCAACTGTCTGGCTTTAGGAAACACTAAAAGAAATCAAGAAATAAAAAGTGGTTTTCAGTGACACTTTATTAGACCAAGCTGAGGGAAAAAATTATGAAAACCAAAAGAAGGCTTCAACTCATCACTGGTATTTAGTTGCAGCACCTCTGGCTTCTCTAACAGCTGGCCGTCTCTGAGGCAGTTAGTGAGGGACAAACGGGACTCTTCATCAGGACTCAGACTCTGCAGGTTGGATCCCTGTAAAAGGATCTGGACTATTTGCAGGCTGTGACATTGACCTTATGTCCTTTTTTTTTAAGGAATGTTTTCCCAGTTTTTGCTCTATGGAAAGATGCAAATTGATTTCATCATCCCGTCACCATCCTTTTAATCAATGGGATTAGAAAAGTGTCCAGAATCTTAACATAAATTTGCTCATTTATTGTAGATATGATGACAGTCCGGTCCTCCTCAGTCCACCGTTGCTCCTCAGCCGTTCTAACCTGGTTTTTTCTGTTTAGTGATGATGCTTTCCTTTAGCTTTCCTGGAGGTAAAGCTTATTTCCTTCAGACGCTTTCTTACAGTTCAGTCACAGACCAATTTCCATCCTCATTTGTTTAGTTTTGCATTTTGAGTTTTTTTTTAAACATACTGCTTTAAGTTTTCTGCTTTTCTGTCTTCCTTGGTCTCCCAGTATGTTTGCCTTTAACAACCTTCCCATGTGGTTAGTGTTTAGACACAGCTGACTGTGAGCAACCCACATCTGTTATTATGGTGTTATGATTTACCCTCTTTGCAGAGTTTGATAATCCTCTCCTTTGTTTCAATCTCTGGCGTTGGAGCCATGATTCATGTCCTTCACCTTGGTGCAGCAGCTCTTTAAGACGAGCAGGTCTATGGCTGCGTTCACACTGCAGCCTAAAGGGACCCAAATCTGATTTTTCTACCCATATGCAACCTGGATCTGATCTTTTCATGACAGTCTGAACAAAACGGATCCGATTTTTTTCCAATGTGACCCAGGCCGCTTAGCTCTGAGGTCCTGGATCTGATGCGTATCTGATCTGTTTAAATGCGACCTGTTTCTGAACGCCAGGTCGCATTCATCCCACCTGAACGCCATTAATATCCGACAAAGGTCATTATTCTGCATGTTTCTACGCAGAAGCACAAGAAAAACATAAACCATGGCGGACGATGATGTGGAGAGCAGTATTTATGTTTAACCATTTTGAAAAGATTGAGTTTTTATGGTTGGGAAAGATGTCTAGATGCGCTCCAGGGCTACCATCCATCTTTACTTATGTAAACACGAAGCACGCTGGCTCTATGGCGCAGGTTTGACACTTAGGTTGACTGCAGTTCACATACAAGTTGCATATATTTGGAAATGTGAACAGCTTCACAAAAAAGTCAGATTTCACAAAAAAAGTTGGAATTGAGCATCAAGGCCTGCAGTGATACCGTAGCCTGATTTAATGCAGGTGTTGGTTTGGAGATGGATCAATTACAGAGTGATTCCATCATTGTACCCCTCTGCTTGGGCTAATAAAGTCACCGTTACTGACCGCCACATTTTATTTCTTGATTTCATTTCATGTTTCTTAAAGTCAGACAGGGGTCGTTTGAAATTACTTTAGTTTGATGTCATGTCTGCCATCTGCTTTTTATCTCCTGAATGAACAGAGGCGCTGATTCCATCAGGTTCCCTGCAGGTTGGTTCCTCCTGGAACGATCCCAAACCGTTCCCTAAGCACCAACCCTCCATTCCCCCCAGAGGGTCGGCCACATTAAGGGCCGTCCCAAACCATGCAGTGGGTAGGGCCAGTGGGCCTTTCAGCCCTTAAACAGCGAGTCTCCATCAGCGCAGACTCGCTGAATTTGGCAGCGGGTGTAACGGTGAACTAGTGGAGGAGGAAACACGTTCATTCAAGTCTAAGTTCTGCTGTTTGCTGCATCTTCGTCACCCTGACAGAAAAATCACGTCATTTATCCCTAAATGGAAGCTCCTCTTTGGAATAGTTGCCATAGGAACCAATGCTTTCCGTTGGAGGGTAGAGGGCGTCCCATTCACGGTTTTTACGCCACTAGAGGCTGTTTCTTTTGGGCCGGCAGTGACACTAACAGTTAAGGGTGAGTAGTTAGAGGGAGGTTTGGGATTTAGCCGTCAGCATTTCCTCAGTGACACATGGTAGTGGCTGCATCATGCTGTGGTGATGCTCAGGTTCCTCTGAGCGATTGGTTCTCAGTGATAAAAGGAAGACAAAGGCAGGCTCTGAGTCTGGGTCCAGTAGAGGGTTCTGATGAACCCATGTCTGCAGCAGACAGGCTCCCTGCGGGTTCCCAGTTCCTTCCCAGTTCCTCTCTGCTCTACAGCTGGTTCTGCTGCTGTTCCCTCTAAGAAACAACCAACAGATGGTGGTTGGATCCGGGCCTGGACCACAGCTTGGATCACGTTGTGTTCGCTTTTAGTCCAGGACTGGAACCCTTCCCATCCTGCAGCCGAGTCACTGACAGGCGCTCTGATTGTAGACGGTGACGTTCATAACATTGGGCAAGCTGGTTTCAGAACCAGAGGGTATGAGCTGGATCAGAACCGGATCAGTCAGCCCAGGAGCAGCAGACCAGTGGGTAGCTGGGTTTTATCCCGATGGGAAGGGACCGAACCATGCAGGCCGGTGTGACCCAGCGGGGGCTGAAGGAGCTCTTAGGGCCTCTCTGTCGTAAAGGTCGGCCTCCTGTTCTCTGCTGATTCTGCTCCGTCTGTTTCTCTGTCTCTCAGGTAAAAGCAAGGAGGCTGAGATCAAACGGATCAATAAGGAACTGGCCAACATCCGCTCAAAGTTCAAAGGTGACAAAGCTCTGGACGGCTACAGCAAGAAGAAGTACGTCTGCAAGCTGCTCTTCATCTTCCTGCTCGGCCATGACATCGACTTCGGACACATGGAGGCTGTCAACCTGCTGAGCTCCAACAAGTACACCGAGAAGCAGATCGTAAGTCCTTCCTCTTCCTGGTTCTGCCTGTGACAACAGCTGCTGATGATGTCATCAGGAAGCTGGCTCTCTTCCTTCTCTGATGATGTTTTTTTATTTTTTAAATTACACATTAAATCAATAAATGTTCCACATAGTGAAGCCTAAAGTATAATACTCTCACATCAAATGATCTTAAAATGAACTTTTATTGAACAACAGCAACAGAAAAGAAAACTTTAAACTAGGGCTGCAACAACGAATCGATAAAATCGATAAAAATCGACTTTTAAAAGCGTTGGCAACGAATTTAATCATCGATTAGTTGTGTCGCGCGATTAATGCGTCATCCGCCGCCGCCGTCATCCCGGGGAAGCAAAAGAAATATGGCGGAGCGAGTCAGCGCCGCAGTTGCAGTGTTGCCAACTCAGCGACTTTTCAGACCCCTCCAGCGACTATTTTTCAAAAAAGCGACTAGCGACAAATCTGGCGACTTTTTACGGTGTCACTGGCGGCTTTTGGAGACTCTTACGTGAAAGCATGTATCGTTCCTACTCTTGTCCTCCAGCGGCAGCTGCTGCCGTGGGGCGCCTCCCCCATCCCAACGCCTTTCTCCCTCTCCCACAGGAATCCCTCTCAGCGCTGCAGTCCGAGCCGCAGGATTTTAGTGAGGAGTTTACCCTCAGCGTCCAGACTGCAAATGAAGCGCGCATGCCCCGGGATTGACGGCGCAAATTGATCACAATAATTAAAACAGCCTGCGCTTTGTAAAGTGAAAAAAGTCGTAACATGCGACTTTTGTAAAAACAAATGAACATGGCACGGAAGCACCACTGTTATGACGCAGCACCTGAAAAGAAAACAGGTTGGAGCCTTCGATGGCGTGAAGATAGCTGATCAGCAGGATGAGTAACCATGTTTGTTTGGTTTTAAAGAGGGGAAACGTAACGTTAGTTTCTCAGGTAGCTCATCTGATGCTTTCCTTACCGTGTTAGTAGGTTACAGACAGTGATAAGGTTGGCTACTTATTTTACTTTTAATTTCATTTGAATTAGCTTAAGCAGCGTTTATATTTTCTTTATAAATAAATTAAATTGCAAATTATGAGGGCAAGGCTTTTAAAGTTTAAATCTTCTGGCAAAGATAAAGTAAAGAAGATCCTGCAATTTATGGAAGTAAAGCAGAATAAAATCCAGCAAGATCAGTAATATGTCAATTAATTAAATGTAAATATCTGTCTTTGGAGGATGTGTGTTTTAGCACCCCTAGTTCTCTCATTTTTATTCCAAATACAATTTATAATTTGAATCACAGGCTATTTTTATCTCTATGGTTCAGTATTTTCTCAAGCAGCAACTTTAACTGCTATACTTTCCTGTCTTAAAAGGCAGAACTCTTCTAGTCTAAAAAAACCTCATTTGTTGAAATGGGGGGGCCTATTGTTTGAACCCCTTAGGGGCTTTTAAAACAAAAATGTCTTTTTTTGCGCTTTATGAAACAAAGTACCCTATATTTTGTGGATGTACAGCTACATTTCTCATGTAAGTTTGCGTAGTTTTAACACAAACATTTATTTTTCATATTGCACCAGTACAGTTAATGAGAAACCTGTACTTGTGTGCTTGTTTGTTCTGTCTGAAATGTTTATTTTGGAATAAAGAGGTTAATATAAAAAAAATATTTTGTGTCCGATTCATCGATTAATCGAAAAAATAATCGGCCGATTCATCGATTTTCAAAATAATCGTTAGTTGCAGCCCTACTTTAAACTTAATCCTCTGAGCTCTGTGAGCGCTAACCGGGAAGCTGCTGCTGCCGCAGTGCATGCTGGGACAGCTGTCAGTCTGGAGAACGGTCTGCTCTGATGCATGCTGGGTAAAGAGGGAGGGGCGAGCAACACCCAAAGACTTTGTCCGTTCTCAGTCTGGACAGCACTATGGCTGAGGCTGATGACGTTTCACGGGGAAATGAGACCGCACAGATTGAGAAACAGCCATTGTCCAGGAGCTAACTTTATCAGCTTTGGATTTAAACATAAATCTAGTCTTTTTGAGTTTTATTATTTCCTCTCGTGTTAACATTATGTTAAATAGTGCGTAATCTAAAGAAAGAAACAACTAAAATGCAGATAAACACGGTTTAATCAGATTTACTGCTCTGAGCGTGATGACGTCAGAGAAGCAGTTTAATGGAGAAAATGTAAAAAAAAAAGCATCAAATTGTCTCTCAAATGTCCTTTAAACATTTTTTAAAGATGTGTATTAATATTCTATAGTTATAGAAATAAGTAATTATAGCAGCATAATTGCATTATTTATGGACACCCGGATGTATATCTGTTCGCGGGGGACGGATCGGGTAATGACGGACAAGTCTGATCAGCCAGAGGGCGTTTCTCAATTCACGAGAACGCGAGTACGTACTCGCGTTCTCGTCAAGTCCGTTCTTGGCGAGAACGCAGGAAGATCGGACTTGACGAGAACGCGAGTACGCAAGCACGTATGTGTATTGGAGCAGAAGCGTACTCGTGACGTCATCACATGCAACGTTCTTTAGCATTTCTTTAACAGTCAAAACTATTTATTCCCTATACAAAACATTTTGAAAACAATATTTTTAATTTCTAAAGCTTAAAAAACATTAAAAAAAATTACCGAACCGCAAAAAACCGCCATCAGAACGAGCGGTATAGTTCACACATAACTAGACCGAGAGAAGTGCACTACAGACGGGGTAACATTAGCCCTGGCTGCGGTTACCCTCGGAGGTCTGCTGGTCACTCTGGTCCGCTCAACGTCGGACTTTTTTTTAAAATTTCGCACTAACTCTGTAAACAGACCACACAGGGAGGCTTCAATGTATAATGTTATCGCCTGAAACGATTTCAAAACGTACTTTTGAAGAACAACAGCGGCAGAAAAGGGAATGTTTAACTTACCGCTGTGAGCGCTGTCTGGAATCAAGCTGCGGCCGCGGGGCATTCTGGGGAAGCGGTCAGTCTGAAGAACGCACAAGTCTGCTCTGATGCATGCTCGATAAAGAGGGCGGGGCGAGAACAACATCCGGGGATTTGGTGCGTTCACGAGAATTGGAACGGTACTCGGGCTGAGGCTGATGACGTGTCACGAGTACACGAGAACGCTCAAGAACGCATATTGAGAAACGCCTAGAGTCTTAGCATTGATGCTAAGAGGTCTGGTCCATTCGGTGCTTTCAGTCTCCCTGAAGGCCTCATTTGATTAACACTCGCAGCAGTGGACCCTGCAGTTCTGAGTGACCTGGACCGCCTGCCGGGCCTCTCAGGTATAATAGTTTGAGGGTGGGAGCATTTTGTTGGAATGAGTTAGTTTCTGCTGCTGTCCAGATGCTGGTTCTGCAGCATCAGCTGATGCCATGGATCCGGATGGGTTCAGATGACTCAGCAGAACCATGTTCCACCTGAGAAACAAGCCGAATAGAAGCCCATCTAGACGGCTGCATGTCAGCAGAGCTCTGCCCCTGTGCTTCGTCACTTCCTGTTCAGGGTTGGGGAGGTTAAAGCCACGGCAGCCTGTTGGAGGTTCCTTCATCTTCAAACCATCTTCAGACATCAGTAGGAACAGGAGAGAAAGCAGAAACCGCTGTTTCCTGGAGCCTTTTTTTCTTGCTCTCAGGAAGAGGAAATGTTTACTCAGCAGAAAGAGGATGAGTCAGGATCCGGGTCGCTGAGTCGCAGCCCAGATTGCTGCTGGACGCATGAGAACCATCGTCTCTGCTGCTTTCGGTGTGACTGGATCTGCAGCCAACATCCAAAATCAACTTTCTGTCTCACCGGTTGAAATGAGCTAATTTCAAATATACTTATACCAAAGGGAAATCAAATGTTGCTGTAGATGCTGTAAGTAGGAAGGATCTCCTGTAGAGGTCTGTCTTTCACCAGATCTGGGTCAGCCTCTGACTGAAGATACACTGATGTTGTCTAACAGTCTGATGAAGAGGATGCTCACTGCTGTCCATCATTTCTTCATCTCCAGAGGTTCTAGAGGAGTTCCTAGAACAGAGCCGCCTTTATCAGCTGGTTGAACTTCTTTCAGCCATTAGCTCTGATGATGGAGGCAGAGACCAGACTGATAGAAGATCTGCAGCCTCTGAAGGACCTCAGCTTCCTCTAGAAGTCCAGTCTGCTCTGTCCCTTCTTGCAGACGGCTTCCAGGTTGTGTCTCCAGTCCAGGTTGTTGTCCAGGTGAAAACCGAGGGATTTCTACTCCTCCTCCTCTTCTTCTCCCAGGATGTTAACAGGATTCAACTTGTTCCTGTTTCTTTTGTTTTGTTGACCTTCAGGATCAGATGATTGTTTCCACATAAAAATAAAGCAAAATTTAGAGTCTTTAGATGATGATGATGATGATGATGATGGGAATATGAGGGATCCAGGTTTTGACAGCCGGACTGGCAATAATGCTCGACCATAGAAACACGTTTGTTCGCTGTAATGGTAGAAATGTGACGGGAATGTAATATTTGCTGAGTTGGTATCCTGCAGCGGCGTCTTCTGAAGGCCGGATTTGTTGGCCAATTACATCATAGCTCGAATCCGATGTCTGTTCTGATCGGAGGAATTCTCGTTATACGGCCGATAAATGCGTCCTTCTTTTTATCGGATTTAAAGGACAGGTCCGCTGTATCCTCCATGGGTATCCCATGATTCATTGGGAGTCCAAGCTGTGCTCAGAGGAAAAAGGGAAATGGCGCCAAACAGTGGTGAATGATGGAAGTGCTGTTTAATATAATCAGAACTGAGGAGGAAGCCTCTTGGAAGAAAACGTCCAGTTGTCTAAAGGAACCTTTCCGTCAGCAGACCGTGAAGCGAGGTCCAGTGGAGGCAGCAGAAAGCTGGACCAGTTTCAATCCGTACCTAAACTCTTACGACCTCCTCATCTTCTATGAGGTTTACCCATGCAGGATAAATGAGGAACTGCTCGGTAAAAACCCACTAAGAATAAGGCTGTAATGTTTCTGTGAAATGGGTGTGATGGAGAGCAGAGAGTCTGGATGAAACAGAGAGAGAGAGACGGCAGGCAGTGGAAGCTCATAGTGGCTCTACCAGTAGCAGGTCAGGCCGCCACGGCGTGGCAGCTGCCACTACAGCCACAGTCTACCAGATCGGCTCTTATGTCCACGGCCACCGGTTTGGGGGCTGCCAGGGCCTTTCTTTGGCCAATAATGGGGTCATGGTTCCTGATTGTTGTTTTGAAATTGTGACGTTATTTCCTAATAAACTGTAATAAACCTTTGATAATGTCACATTCACTGGATGGAACGAAGAAGTTAATCTGCCAATCCTCCCTTCCTCCTCCTCCTCCTCCCTGTCTTACCCCCCCCTCCTCACTGACCCGCTGTGCTCCTTCCAGGGCTACCTGTTCATCTCGGTTCTGGTGAACAGTAACAGCGAGCTGATCCGTCTGATCAACAACGCCATCAAGAACGACCTCTCCAGCCGGAACCCCACCTTCATGTGCCTGGCTCTCCACTGCATCGCCAACGTGGGCAGCCGGGAGATGGCCGAGGCCTTCGCCAGCGAGATCCCCCGCATCCTGGTGGCCGGGTGAGTCTGCTTACAGCTGGGGGGGAGGGGCGGTTTGCGTGGGGATTGTGAGCAGCTGTGATCCGTGACCGTCTGAACCGCAGCGATACGATGGACAGCGTGAAGCAGTCGGCCGCCCTGTGCCTGCTGCGCCTCTATAAGACGTCCCCTGACCTGGTGCTGATGGGCGAGTGGACGTCACGGGTGGTGCACCTGCTCAACGACCAGCACATGGTGAGCGCCCACACGCATCACAGCAGGGAGAACAATGAGGCGGGGCTCGGGGCTGACGGCTTTCCTGTTGCTGCAGGGCGTGGTGACGGCGGCCATCTCCCTCATCACCTGTCTGAGCCAGAAGAATCCCGACGAGTTCAAGACCTGCGTCTCTCTGGCCGTGTCCCGACTCAGCCGGGTGAGTGATGACTGGGGGTCGATTTCAGATTGATTCCAGTAAAATTTTACTAAATCGATGCGTAGGGAATGAGATGGATTAATTTTATAGAGACGTAAGTGACGTAGAAGAGTAGGCAAATGCAAAATGACCGACGCAGGTAAAACACCGCTCAGCAAGCCGTCCCAATTCAAGTCTGACATCTGGAACCATTTTGGATTTAAAAGAACTAAAGACAATGAGCTGGATGAAGCCAAAGGTCTGTCCAGCGGAGGTCAGTTACCGTAGAAACATTACAAATCTCTGAAATCACAGTCCTACATAACGGCGATTTCCCACTACGTTGATAATGAGTGGCGCCTCTGATCTGGAGTCACACTGCTGCTAATGTTGCTGACATGTTGACGGGGGGGGGCATACAGAAATGGGGGTCTGACCAGCAAACACCCAGCAGTTGTTATGGACGATGCTGCACATACGGTTCTTGCAGTGGAAAAAGGCAGCTGATGCATGTCGGCTGCTTTAGCCTCACAGGCAGGTCTGAAAATCCCCGCTGTGTCGCGTCTGCCTCCTCGTGTGAGGCTTATAGCAACGTTTTCACCGGAGAACAACAGCAAACCACAGACTGAAAGAAAAACAGCAGCTGCTTCAACTACCTGCGCATAAGCTAACAGTCGATTTTGTTAGGAGATGGAACAGTGGACCTGCTGGAGCGCCTTTTAGAGCAACAACCAGCCATCCCTGCTACTCTCCTTTCTCAAGACGTACGCAGGAACGAAAAAGATTCATGCAGAGGAGGATGTAATGATTGCTGAGGATTTGCTCTGTTTGTTAAAACCGATGAAAGAAGCTACTTATGCTAACAGTTTTAAGGCCGATAGTTTCACACACTGAAGTAGGTGGTTGTTGTGCAGATGAGCAGATAATCGGCCCCTGAAATCCTAGTTAAATATTATAGGAAGACATTTTTTTCTCCATGGTTTGGTCGTGGTAAAGGTTGTGTTGATTGCATCTGACCCAAGTTTAACTTTCTATTTAGTTTCCAGTATTTTTTGCCCCTTCAGAGAAAATGCCTTTATTCAAATTGCAGTGTTGTAGTAAAAGTTTTTCCCTTGCAAAACTTTTATTTCTACAAATTAGCACTTTTGAGACTTGATACAGTTTTGTTTATATCCCAAGTTTAAACTCTTGTTTATAAGTCTGCACTTTATTTGAACTTTGTGTATAATATGAAAGGAAAAAAATAAAAATTACATGTTTATTTTGCAAAAGTTGAGCCACTTTCATTATTGTAAGAGCAGATTGAATCAAATTTAATCGATTCAGAAGTGTATGAATCGAAATCGAATCGATTCAGGACTTTGGCCAAAATACCCCGCCCTAATGATGACCCAACATGGCCGCCGCTGGACTGCTGGCTTCATTCTGCGGCCGCTTCCTCTGACTTCTGAAGCCTGGTTCATGCCCAGAAACCAGGTCGTCTGCATGTGTCACAGTTAACGCAGATATTCGGTCGCTCCGTCCCCCGCTGGCTCCCTGTTCCGACTACGTGCTGCACTGTAGTCGACCAAAATCCTGGACGATTTTGAAATTCCCCCCCCAGACCTTTTTAGGTCTGAAAAGTAGGACATGTCCGGGAAAAAGAGGCCGTCTGGTCCCCCTACCATATCAATGATGTTTCAGTGAGTGAGTGCTTGTTGCTATGATGCGTCTTTGCTCAGCAGCTTGGCTCGTTGTAAACCAACTAATCAGAGCACAGCTCATCTAGATATTCATGATCAAACTAGGGCTGCAACAACGAATCGATAAAATCGATAAAAATCGACTTTTAAAAGCGTTGGCAACGAATTTAATCATCGATTAGTTGTGTCGCGCGATTAATGCGTCATCCGCCGCCGCCGTCATCCCGGGGAAGCAAAAGAAATATGGCGGAGCGAGTCAGCGCCGCAGTTGCAGTGTTGCCAACTCAGCGACTTTTCAGACCCCTCCAGCGACTATTTTTCAAAAAAGCGACTAGCGACAAATCTGGCGACTTTTTACGGTGTCACTGGCGGCTTTTGGAGACTCTTACGTGAAAGCATGTATCGTTCCTACTCTTGTCCTCCAGCGGCAGCTGCTGCCGTGGGGCGCCTCCCCCATCCCAACGCCTTTCTCCCTCTCCCACAGGAATCCCTCTCAGCGCTGCAGTCCGAGCCGCAGGATTTTAGTGAGGAGTTTACCCTCAGCGTCCAGACTGCAAATGAAGCGCGCATGCCCCGGGATTGACGGCGCAAATTGATCACAATAATTAAAACAGCCTGCGCTTTGTAAAGTGAAAAAAGTCGTAACATGCGACTTTTGTAAAAACAAATGAACATGGCACGGAAGCACCACTGTTATGACGCAGCACCTGAAAAGAAAACAGGTTGGAGCCTCGATGGCGTGAAGATAGCTGATCAGCAGGATGAGTAACCATGTTTGTTTGGTTTTAAAGAGGGGAAACGTAACGTTAGTTTCTCAGGTAGCTCATCTGATGCTTTCCTTACCGTGTTAGTAGGTTACAGACAGTGATAAGGTTGGCTACTTATTTTACTTTTAATTTCATTTGAATTAGCTTAAGCAGCGTTTATATTTTCTTTATAAATAAATTAAATTGCAAATTATGAGGGCAAGGCTTTTAAAGTTTAAATCTTCTGGCAAAGATAAAGTAAAGAAGATCCTGCAATTTATGGAAGTAAAGCAGAATAAAATCCAGCAAGATCAGTAATATGTCAATTAATTAAATGTAAATATCTGTCTTTGGAGGATGTGTGTTTTAGCACCCCTAGTTCTCTAATTTTTATTCCAAATACAATTTATAATTTGAATCACAGGCTATTTTTATCTCTATGGTTCAGTATTTTCTCAAGCAGCAACTTTAACTGCTATACTTTCCTGTCTTAAAAGGCAGAACTCTTCTAGTCTAAAAAAACCTCATTTGTTGAAATGGGGGGGCCTATTGTTTGAACCCCTTAGGGGCTTTTAAAACAAAAATGTCTTTTTTTGCGCTTTATGAAACAAAGCACCCTATATTTTGTGGATGTACAGCTACATTTCTCATGTAAGTTTGCGTAGTTTTAAAACAAACATTTATTTTTCATATTGCACCAGTACAGTTAATGAGAAACCTGTACTTGTGTGCTTGTTTGTTCTGTCTAAAATGTTTATTTTGGAATAAAGAGGTTAATATAAAAAAAATATTTTGTGTCCGATTCATCGATTAATCGAAAAAATAATCGGCCGATTCATCGATTTTCAAAATAATCGTTAGTTGCAGCCCTAGATCAAACCATAAAAGGAAGAAAACCTGTGGTTTCATTCTAGGGCTTTTAACCAGGATGCATTAGGGCTCATAGAACAGCTAATAGGACATTTTCAGCCCCACCAATGTTACACACCCTATTAGAGACCTGAAGGACCAGATACCCTATAGAATCATTTATCACCCCTTTAAGACCTCTTTAAATGGAAGTTTTATTATTCGGAACAGAAAGCCAGATATCTCAGATTTAATCTACCACCAGTCCTAATCTAATTATCTGAGTTATTCCTCTCAGTCAGTCATGTTTTAAACTGGACAATTGAAGGTTTAGACACGCTCAAAATGTAAATGCAGAAAACGCCTCCAGCTGCTGGTCTCTTCTGTCCCTTTATGTCTCTGCTTATTTCTGAAGGAAGTGATGAGAGGAGGACATTCTGCTTTAAACTTTTCAACCTTTCTTTCCAGATTGTGTCTTCAGCCTCCACGGATCTGCAGGATTATACCTATTACTTTGTGCCTGCTCCCTGGCTCTCCTGCAAGCTGCTGCGTCTGCTGCAGTGCTACCCTCCACCAGAAGATGGCGCAGTGAAGGGCCGCCTGGTGGAGTGTCTGGAAACCATCCTGAATAAGGCCCAGGAGCCGCCCAAATCCAAGAAGGTGCAGCATTCCAACGCCAAGAACGCCATCTTGTTCGAGGCGATCTCACTAATCATCCACTATGACAGGTGAGCATCGTTCATGGCGCCGCTTCTCCGTCTGCCAGCTACCGTCTACATCTAATCCGTTTCCTCCTCAGGGTTTCTGTGGGTCATTAAAAGCCATTCAATTATTATTTTGTTAAACCAAGACCTTTATTGGCATTAAAATTCATTAAAAGTGAATATTGAGGCATTTATAATGCTTTATTAAAAAAAAAATTTTTATAAAAACATTTTAGTCAGATATATTATATCGCAATATATTTGCGTGGAACTGTTCCCGGTTGATTGTAAAGCCGGATGTTATGGAAAAAAGCTAGAGAATGCGGGGAAAATGCTAATGTCAACAAAAGTGGCTAAAAAACGAGGAATTCGGGACACGGCTGCAGCCTGATGACGCTGAAGAAGACCAAGGAGTTTGCCCTGTTTTATATATATCTATAAAAAATCAGGGATCGACGTTAAGGATTTTTACCACTTGCCCTTTGGGCCAGTGGCTTTCACATTTCATTTGCCCAGAAACAATTGTTACTTGCCCAGTATAATGTTTGATAAATATAGTTCCTAATATTCATTTTTGTATATATATCAATGAAACATGTTTTTTGTAATTGAGTATTTTTTAAGTTTCCAGGTTCCTGGTGTGTATCTGCATGCGTCAGATAATGAACTCCAGCCTACATTACCGTGTTAACATGCTTTTCAATCCTTCCTGCACATTCTTTTCAAACTAAACTTTGCTTTAAACTGTTGTGTGCTTGGAAAAATATAAATTACAATGTTAAAAATCTAAAAAAACTTGACAGGTTAAAAACTGTCATTGTCACAAATGAATAACTTTTATTTTAGAGTCACAGTATGTTTATAGAAGATTATACTATTAATATAATGTGACTTTTCTAGAGAATTATTATAGTTATTTTATTCAGGGTTTCCAGTCTGACATCATTTCAGGATTTCCTGACTTTTAACTGACTTTTAACTGACTCAGTTTTCCCTGACAAAATAAATGCAGCAACAAGACAATAATAATAACATAACAGGTCACCAATCTAACATGTTTAGCTCTATAACATTTAAATGCACCTCTCCAATGTCTAAGAGAAAAAAGTTTAATGAAGATTTTTTAATGTATGACCTGCATCACTGTACAGAAGATGATAGCGCTTTCTAGCTTGTTTGTCGTTTTGGTAACTACATCAAAATGACCACTAGATGGACAAAAATCACGCCATCTGGCAGAAAATCACCCGGCTTTTTCAAATCACGAGAGAATGTGTAAAACAAAAATGGCGCCGGCAACGCTTCAAGGTCGTTTTCATCGAATGTCGGTGATTTTAAAGGAATTTTGAGTGATAAATTATTTTTTTTTTGTGATCAAAAAAACCCAGAAATAAAAACTACACTGCAAAAACAATCTAGAAATAAGTAAAAATTTCTTAAATAAAGTGTATTTACCCTTAATTTGAGTAGGTAAATGAGATAGTCTGCCAATGGAATGAGTAGTTTTAGTCTTAAAATAAGATAATTAGATAATATGCACTTGAAATAAGGCAATGCAATTGTGTTTTCTTATTTTAAGTGTAAATTGTCTTGTTCCGTTGGCAAAATGTCTCTTTTACCTCCTCAATTCAAGAACAAATGCACTTATTTTAAGAAAAAATGACTGATCTAGATTTAGATGTTTTGCATTACTTGCCCCAGGCGATCAGGCGATGGTTAACATCCAGCCCTGGATATGTTTGGGCTTTATCACAATACACAACATATATCAAGATATGTTTAAATTACCTTCATAAACAATATACTCAGTTAAGCTTTTGGTTTTAAGTTTCATTTAATTTTGTTATTTTAACCAGCTCACAGCTTTTATGCCACCTGATATAACATACAATACTAAATAAAATGCAAAATAGAAAAGGGCTCATTTGTGCATCATAATAAAAAAAGAGGAATGAAAAAAGTAATTGACCTGAAATTGCAAAAACAAAAGTGGAAATACCATCATAAAAATTAGAGCATTATCAGAGCATCTCCAACCTATCAGCATTGATCTTTATCTTCTGGGGATTTTAAAGAAGCACAAAAAGATGTAAAACTTTGTCAAGTTTAGAAAACGGCTGTAAAACCTCTGACATCACATCCCAGCTATTAGAGCATCTAAAAAACATTTAAATAATGTAATAAATAGCGTCTGTGATTTCCCTCCTTCTCTTCCTGTTTCTCTCAAATGACTTTATAGTCATTTTTTTTACATAGAGAGTATAAAAACACAAATGTTATTCAGTACAGCTCTCCAAGACATTTTCATTTTTAAAGTGCAGCAGTGATAAATGTAAACATACGATGTATATGATTTACAGTTTCTAACATTCAGGGGGTTTTTTTTCTTTACAAACCCCCTTTCATACACCATTCAGCAGTCAACTGGTATTATTTCTTCAAACGACGAGGCCGACGCCATCGGCTTCACAGCTGATTGATTGAATGTTTTAATTGGTGTGCGGGGAAACGCTGACATGCAGAGTTTACATTCTTCCTTCTGCAGCGGAAGACTTTTTAGGTGCTGAAATAAATGTGTTCTGCTTCCTTAAGCAGCAAAGGTTTTCATATAAATTAGCGCCTTTGTTCGGCGTGAAATCCAAACCGCTGCTGTATATCGCTCAGCTGAAACTCTGCCGGTTGCTGTAGTGTGGGAGAATATATTCCTGTTTGGACGAGGGGTTTATGATGCATTCAAAGTGTGTGGGGAAAAATCAAACTCTCAGTGAAATAGATGCAGAGGGCTTAATGTCGTCCTGTGAATTTGTCCTTGACGGCTGCGAGAGTCATGGAGTATATCTGGTATATCGCTCACCTCTAGTTTAAACTCAAGTTTATGAAGACCTGGATCTGAGGTCCATCTCCAGCCCTCTGCTGTTGATGACCTTCACTAAGCAGAATTAAAGCACAACAGACATGAGGCTGAGATGTTAGCAGCTGCTGGTTTTCCTCCAGGTTCTCGTCCTTCCAGCAGCTGCAGCTCATCTAACGGTTTAATGTGGTTTCTGCTTAATTTTTATGTCCTTCTTTAGCCAAGTTCTCCTTAAAACCCGGGATTCTGACCTCCTGGGTTAAATAAAGATTTAACTGTCCCTGATATCGGTCTAAAATGTGTTTGGTGTTATTTCAAAGATGACTGACGTGTTTATCCATAAATAAATGGCTGCTGCTCAGTGATTGATCTCTGGGATCTAAAGCTCAGGAAGTGGCGCATCACTCATCTCTACTGCGCTGCTTGGTGTTTCAGCTCTGCAGGGATCATCATTAAAACCAGTCGTTTGTCTTTCCCAGTGAGCCAAACCTTCTGGTGCGAGCCTGTAACCAGCTGGGCCAGTTCCTGCAGCACAGAGAGACCAATCTGCGTTATCTAGCTCTGGAGAGCATGTGTACTCTGGCCAGCTCAGAGTTCTCCCATGAAGCGGTGAAGACGCACATCGAGACGGTCATCAATGCCCTGAAGGTGCTGCCTCACACCTAAAACATTTAAACTGATGATGATTGTCCTCAATAACTTTCCTGTCGCTGCTCTTTGTCAGACGGAGAGAGACGTCAGCGTTCGACAGCGAGCCGCCGATCTGCTCTATGCCATGTGTGATCGTAGCAACGCCAAGCAGATCGTAGCAGAGATGCTCAGCTACCTGGAGACGGCAGACTACTCCATCAGAGAGGAGATGGTGCGTGAGACACCCTGATGCATCTGGATACCAGCAACCACTGAGAAAACATGTTCTGGTTCCTCCTGCCTCACTAAAAGCAGGAAAGGAGGAGAAGCTGAACCAGTTAAAGATTGGATTCAGCTCATTGGTTCTGTCCAGACGTCCATCTGTCTGATCTTCTTCTGCTGGTTTTCCAGCCTCTGCCTCTTTGCCTCCTTTCTTCCTCTGATCTTCACCTTCAGCTGCTTCTCTATTCTCCTCATTAATTCCCGTCTTCCTTCTTAAAGGCTGTTTTTTCTTGCTGAGCAGTTCCTTCAGATCCCCTGTGATCCAGGGTTTATTATCTGGAAGCATTCCTCTGTTCTGGTAGTGATGCTGTTACCTACAGGAGCTGCTGCACCAGCAGCTCTCCAGGGTCAGTCAGTAGATGCAGTCTGAAACACTCTGGTCCTCAGATGTGATGAAGTCCCAAACTGGGCTGTTTACTTTCTCTCAGTTCTCTGTTAGGTTCCCTCTGATAAAGTTAGCAGAGTAAAACAGACTGAAGTACAGTAGCAGCCATTCAGAATGATCCTTCCCAGTCAGACACCAGCCCAATGGCAGCCCACTTCCCTGCAACTCCCAGCCAAATCCCCTCCAACTTCCAGCCACTGCAGTGACCCCCTGCATATTATTTTCCTCTGACTCCTCCCTTTCACTGAATTACAGGGTCTGACCAGGAGATGGCGCTTCTCTTTAGATATTAATGTCCACAAATCATGACAGAATATTTTAGTTCAAAGATTGATGTTTAAAACGAATGATAGTGGAGACGCCAAGGACCCATCAGGGAAAGTTGGGAAATTTTGAACGGCTGTTACTGTTAGGGCGCCTATTGGAAAATCGGATCATCATCAGAGCAGATCAGCAGCTCTTAAGGCGCCATGATGATGGCGTCCCATGAAGGGGTAGAAAACACTGCTGGGGAAACGTTTAGGTCAGTAGAGAAGTGATTGACCCGTCGCTCTGCTTTCATTAAGGTGCTCAAAGTGGCCATCCTGGCAGAAAAGTATGCCGTGGATTATTCCTGGTATGTGGACACCATCCTGAACCTGATCCGCATCGCTGGGGACTACGTCAGTGAGGAGGTGTGGTATCGCGTCATCCAGATCGTCATCAACCGAGACGACGTGCAAGGCTACGCCGCCAAGACCGTCTTTGAGGTACGTCCATGGGAACGGCGCGCTGTTCCGTTGCTAAACGCTTCCTCCTGCCAACTGCAGCTTAACTTTCCTAGAGCCCAGCAGCGTCCTGTCTGTGGGTCTGTGGGTGGGGGTGTCATGGGCCCCTACTGCTCTCAATGAGTTCAAAGCTGTTGCAGGGTTGGGTATTAAATATGGATGTTAGGTCCCCCTGAAGGCGGCTTGGAACTTCCCTACCGGTTCTTTACCTGGGAGCAAGTTATTTACTACTCTTAACTCGAACTGGGTAAAAACCGTATAAACAAGGACTATAAAACAGGAGTAAAAAAGTAACAGAGTTTGTTCCAGATCAGGTCGTTACAGGACAGAGAAATTGCTTAGGGTTGGCAAAGCTGTGGGCTCAAAAACGTCAGCGAGGGTCCGGCAAAGATTGAGCCCTGAACAAGGTCATCTCCTCCTTCTTATACCTCATGAGTCCATGTTTTGCATCAGGTGGATGCTCAGCTGTCCGTATCAGAAACTGGCTCGCCATCCATGTCTTGAACTTCATGCATCTTTACCCCAGTATTACACATAGCTCTCCTTTATCAGTCCGGCTCCAAGATGTGCTCATATCCTGTGTATTTCTAAAGACACGAAGGCTGTCCTGGTTAGATGACCTCCGTACACACAGTGACATCCACCATGTGAAGGAAGGCCTTCTGCTCTGTTTCTGGCTAACAGAATAACAATGCACAGGATGTATAAAGAGTAAACCTAACAGTATGAACCAGTTACTCACTGATCCCCACAGGTAGACTGGGTTGGTAGGCTAGTAGCCTGGGCTGAGAGCTGTGGTCTCTGACAGTGGGTGTTCGAGGACACATTTCTTTCTGGGAATGTTTTGGTGGATTGGTATCTGGTCGTAATTCCTAGCAGCTAAAGGATCAGAGCTTGGAGGGTCTGGGATTAAACCGGATTTACGTTTAGCTGGTTTTATGCTGAGCTCCTGTTTACATTCCTGGTCTATTTGGTGCGGTTAGTTTCTACCCATCGTAGCTGTCTAGCTAGGTTAGGGTCACGGTTCGGCCCGTGGAGAGAACGGAGAACTGTGATTGGCTGTGTGAGGTTTGACTACATGTTTATGGGCATGTTGGACCTGCTTTGCTTTACGGTGCATCCAATCCAAAGATCTCACTGGATCCTTGTGTTTCAGGCCCTGCAGGCCCCAGCGTGCCATGAGAACATGGTGAAGGTCGGAGGCTACATCCTGGGAGAGTTTGGGAACCTGATCGCCGGGGACCCACGCTCCAGGTCTGTCCTCTCTGCACTGCTCTGCTCTGGTCTCTTTGAGGCTCCATGCTCACCAGCTGGTCCTTTCCCTCCAGTCCCCTGGTCCAGTTCAACCTTCTCCACTCCAAGTTCCACCTGTGCTCGGTGCCGACCCGCGCTCTGCTGCTGTCGGCCTACATCAAGTTCATCAACCTGTTCCCAGAGACGAAGGCCACCATCCAGGAGGTGCTGCGCTGCGACAGCCAGATCCGTAACTCTGACGTGGAGCTGCAGCAGCGAGCCGTCGAGTACTTGAAGCTCTCCTCCATCGCCAGCACAGATGTCCTGGTTGGTTCTGCCCACCTGCTCTGATCCACCTGGGCCCAGTCGGGCTCGGTGAGGATGGCTCTCACTCTCAGGTGTTTGTTTTCCTTCCACCCAGGCCACCGTGTTGGAGGAGATGCCACCCTTCCCAGAGAGAGAGTCCTCCATTCTGGCTAAGTTGAAGAAGAAGAAGGGGCCTGGCGCGGTTTCGGTGACGGAGCTTGAAGACGGTAAAAGGGAGAGCGGCGAGTTGAATGGAAGCGGCGAGCGGGGTCAGGACGCCGCAGCCATGGCTGCCTCCAACGCAGTAAGCTCCCTCTGTGCCCCCGAGGCTGCGTGAAGGTCCCGCTCTGCCTCTGCTCTAAGTGTCCCTGTCTTCCAGTCCACCCCGTCTCCATCGGCGGACCTGCTGGGGATCCGCTCCGCAGCTCCGGTCAACGCCGCCCCAGCCAGCGCCGGCAGTCTACTGGTGGATGTTTTTTCAGAGGTGGGCCCAGCTGCACCTTCTGGGGCGGTGAACGACGACGGCTTCCTCAGGTGAACACCAGCATCTGTTGATCAGCAGGTTCTGAACCAGACGAAGCGCTGTGGCGGTTCTGCCTGGAGCCCGGCGTTCAGCTGCAGCCTCCTCTGGTGGCTCTGTCAGAGATGGTCTGCCGCCGACGCAGGTCATCTCCTCAGCAGAATCAGTCCAGGAACACATGGATCCATCACCAGTAGAGGGAAACATTCAGGTGCTCCTCGTTCTGATGAGCACGTCTCACCAGCGCCCCCGGGTGGCGGTTGGATGCCGTCTCTAGGGCTGCAACAACGAATCGATAAAATCGATAAAAATCGACTTTTAAAAGCGTTGGCAACGAATTTCATCATCGATTAGTTGTGTCGCGCGATTATTGCGTCATCTGCCGCGCCGTCATCACTGCCTCTTGACTGAAAGAGGAAGAAAAAAAAATACGGCAGAGCGAGTCAGCGCCGCAGTTGCAGTGTTGCCAACTCAGCGACTTTTCATTCCCCTCCAGCGACTATTTTTCAAAAAAGCGACTAGCGACAAATCTGGCGACTTTTTTCGGTGTCACTGGCGGCTTTTGGAGACTCTTACGTGAAAGCATGTATCGTTCCTACTCTGCCGTGGGGCGCCTCCCCCACCCCAACCGCGTTTTCCCGCAGGAGTCCCTCTCAGTCAGAGCCTCAGCGTCCAGACTGCAAATGAAGCGCGCATGCACCGGGATTGACGGCGCAAATTGATCACAATAATTAAAATACCCTGCGCTTTGTAAAGCTAAAAAAGTGATAACATGCAACTTTTTTCAAAAGAAATTAACATGGCACGGAACCACCATGTTTGTTTGGTTTTAAAGTGGGGAAACGTAACGTTAGTTTCTCAGGTAGCTCATCTGATGCTTTCCTTACCGTGTTAGTAGGTTACAGACAGTGATAAGGTTGGCTACTTATTTTACTTTTCATTTCATTTGAATTAGCTTAAGCAGCGTTTATATTTACTTTATAAATAAATTAACTTGCAAATTATGAGGGCAAGACTTTTAAAGTTTAAATCTTCTGGCAAAGATAAAGAAAAGAAGATCCTGCAATTTATGGAAGTAAAGCAGAATAAAATCCAGCAAGATCAGTATTATGTCAATTAATTATCTGCCACATTCCCATGTAAATATCTGTCTTTGGAGGATGTGTGTTTTTTAGCACCCCTAGTTCTCTCATTTTTATTCCAAATACAATTTATAATTTGAATCACAGGCTATTTTTATCTCTATGGTTCAGTATTTTCTCAAGTAGCAACTTTAACTGCTATACTTTCCTGTCTTAAAAGGCAGAACTCTTCTAGTCTAAAAAAAACTCATTTGTTGAAATGGGGGGGGCTATTGTTTGAACCCCTTAGAGGCTTTTAAAAACAAAAATGTCTTTTTTTGCGCTTTATGAAACAAAGTAGCCTATATTTTGTGGATGTACAGCTACATTTCTCATGTAAGTTTGCGTAGTTTTAACACAAACATTTATTTTTCATATAGCACCAGTACAGTTAATGAGCAACCTGTACTGGTGTGCTTGTTTGTTCTGTCTATAATGTTTATTTTGGAATAAAGAGGTTAATATAAAAAATATTTTTTGTCCGATTCATCGATTAATCGAAAAAAATAATCGTCCGATTCATCGATTTTTAAAATAATCGTTAGTTGCAGCCCTAGCCGTCTCTACAGCTCTTTGACCCCAGAAACAAGCAGCATTGATGAAGCCGGAGGTGCTTCTGAAATGTGTGAACATGGTGGGATGGAGCTGGGCCTCCTTGAATCTTTCCCTCTCTGTAATGCTTCCTCATTAATCGGACTTCCTGGAAGGAGGCTGCGATCGTTAGCTCTTCCTGTGCATGTGGCGTATTTGTCTGTCAGTCGTGTCGTGGTTCTGTTTGCTCGTATATCTCTGATGTATTCAGACCTGCCAACCTGGAGACCAGTGGCTCATGCTAGCATCTGATTGGAGATCTGACCACCGATGGTGGTGAGCTACATGTTAGCCACCGCTGCCCTCTGACCACCATCGTATTGGCCCAATGACACCGAGGAGCTTGAACCAACAACCCTCCGGTTGCAGGGCAGACCTCTGCATCTGACGCCACTTTAGCAGATCAGATGGGGTGATTCCTCTGATTGGTCGGATATTAGGTGACCGTTGAGGAAGTTTGCTGCCGTGTACTCGACAGCTGTGGGTTGTGGGTAAAGCGCCGTTGCTTTACCCACAGGAAGCTACCGCCATCAGAGCGCAGCTAGCCTAGGCCTTCGCCGTCTGTGTGATCGTCCTCTCTCTGAAGCTGCAAACATTTGTTGATCCACAGACGGCGACGGGTCACTGAGGACGGTGTGATGCTGACGTCAGTCAGCAGGGTGGAGCAACATGTAGCTGTTGGAGCTTCCTCTCCTTCTCTTTTAGTTTATTACTAATAGAGAAGGTCTACTTTCACAGTAGACCTCCTGACAGACATCACAGCCAAACATCTGGAGAACATCAGCATGAGTCGGTCAGAGAACAGGGGGGGGCTGAGTCCCAGATATATTCTGGGATATATCTGCTTGTCTAGTGAAAATGATGATTATCACTACCTGATCCGTCCCGCTCATGCGCGCACAGATATACATCTGGGTGTCCATAAATAACGTAATTATGCTTCTAAAATTGCTTATTTCTATCCTTAACTCTGTGTAGAATGCTGATAGACATCTTTAAAAAACGTTTAATGACTTTTTGTGAGACAATTTTGATGCTTTTTCCATTTTCTCAGTTAAACTGCTTCCCTGACATCATCATGGGACATCCTCAGAGCAGTCCGGCTAAATCTGATCAAACCACGTTTATCTGCATTTTACTTGTTTCTTTCTTTAGATAACGCTCTATATACCATAATGTTCACCCGAAAGAAATACATAAAACCCAAAAAGACTAGATTTATGTTTAAATCCAAACTTTAAATCCTTTCGAATATTTTTGTATTTGCGTAAATATTGCATATTATATTATATATTAATATCTAAAAAACATTGAAATAGCCTTTGAAATGTTACTGTGACAGCTGTGGGCGTGGCCAATGATGATGTCATGCATTACGGTGGAGAGCATGAACGCAAAAACGTTTCCATTTCTTCCAGAAAAGTCTTTAATATTTTCTATACGATGTAGTTTAGCATTGTTTAATGATTTTAGGTATATAAATAAGTATTTTCACGACCGATATCACATCGTTTTTCAGCGATCCGGATCTTTTTCTGTTGGTGCATGTGCAGGACGGATCTGGTAGTCACAATGAACACTACATTTCTTGGTGCATTGTGGGAAATTCGGACATGGCCAGCCTGTTCCTATATGTCCTGTTGGCAAAGGATTGTGGGAAATAGTTGATCTTGTAGTGGCGTATAGGATCATGAGGTGGTCCCTCTGCTCCCAGCTCTGCCTGAGGCAGCGAGGATCATGGAGGCTGCGGAAGCTCCTCCTCCATCAGGGCTTTACTGATTTCAGAGGTTTGGACCTGAGGCCGGCCTGCAGGAGAACTCCATGGTTGGCAGGTCTCTCACACTTGTTGATTCTTTATCTTGCTCTGTATGTGACTGTCTTTCGTCTTTTTCTCTTCTTCCCTTTTCTCCGTCTGTCTGTCTGTGTGTTTTGACTTGACTGTGTGTCTGTCCCCTGTCCCGTACCATGATTGTATATTGGCAGAGATCTGGAACCGCCTCCTGAGACCTCCGATCCTCTTTTGGTCGAGGGTTCTGGTGACTCGGAGTAAGATCGCTGTAGATCTAGGAATAAAAGCATGTTCTGAATCAATGTTCTGTTTCTCCTTGAAAGGCAACTGTTTCTGTAATTAGCTTCATCCAGGCAGCTAGCTCAGTTAGCCCCTCTGAACAGACGCACTGCCATGAGGAGAAATAGGAACCGGTGTTTGATTCCCATCCCTACATGTCAGAGGATGAAGAAAGCACATTCAGTTAGTCACAGTCAGAGAAACAGGACTACACTGGAAAACAGGCCAAGCTCCAACATCTAGAAACAAAGGTGTTGATGGCAGCAGCACAGCTGATATTTCTCTCCAGGATGGAGTCACAGCCAAACAGGAACAGACCAGATGAAGCTACTATGAGAAAAAGCAGAGAGAGCAGAACGTTAGAGATTGAACTAACAGATTCTGCAGAGTGGGAGAATAGAGATAGAATGAAGCAGAATGATGAAAAAGGGGTCCCTATGTCCTCCAGCAGTCTAAGCCTATAGCAGCAGAACTATAGGGATAGATCAGGATAACCTGAGCCACTCTAACTAGAAGCTTCATGTAAGCGTCTTGGAGTGTTTCGTACCCAGAATGCAGTGCGAGGCATGAGCCTCTGTCACAGTAAAGTGAGCTCTGCATCCCATCAGCATCAGGGTTTTTCTTCCTCTGTTAAACGTGCTGCAGTCAGGAGGGCTGATGCTAACAGTTGTAGCGTATAGCAGCCATCTTTGATGATGTCATGTTTTTGGGTCCAGTATGCTTTACTAACACCATCTGCATTTTATTCCCTGTCTGTCCGTGTCGCCTCCTGGGCCTCCTCCTAATGCTTGGTCGCTGTTCTAAAACGACGCCCCTCTGATTTCCTCTCTGCTCCTCCTCTGGGCTGTCCTGGTCTCAGCTCTGCTCCTCCCTCTGAGGATCCTGCTCCTCCTCTGTCTGAAGCAGAGGAGCTTCTTAACAAGTAAGCTCTCCTCCTAACGTTGCTCTCACCTCAAATCCATACAGATCCTAACGGATAAGAGCAAAGCCACAAGGGTTCTAATGATGCTCTACTGATGACCCTGCTATCTGAGGGGTCAGGTGATCCACAGCGGGTTCAGAACCTGCCACCAGGCGCTCAGCACCAGTCCAGCTGTGTCCTGCTAACCAGCACCATCCATACGTTCAGATGTTTGTTGTGACTGGAACGGATCCTGAAGAACCTTTTAACAAGCACCTTCTCATCCTGCAGGTTTGTTTGCAAGAACAACGGGGTTCTGTTTGAGAATCAGCTCCTGCAGATCGGCATCAAGTCAGAGTACCGTCAGAACCTTGGTGAGTTCCAGCAGAAACGAGCTCAGTTCAGCGCTGTGATTGGCTGATCCCTTACTTCCTAATTGGTGGAGAGGCTGCAGTGTGCCCTTTTTGTGGGAGTGGGAGGAGCCTGTTTGACCCCAGACGTCGACTCAGTTTCTGGATTGGGGGAGAAATGTCTAGAATGTCTAGAAGGACAGAGATGATTGATGGAGACCTGGTTGCTCTGCTGCAGGTGGAGCAGATCTGCTCTGGGTGCTGCGCTGCCCACTAGAGGCTGGAATGGAATAGAATTCACCTTTATTATTTGTTTTATTTATTTATTTGAATTAGGGAAATGCACACTTATCAGCTTAAAGCATCAATGTAAATATGCCCGAATCGGCAAAACAGCTCATTTTGTATCTGCTGTTCTAAGGCAGGTAAAAACAGCAAACATTAAACACGCTATGGGGGAGAACGCAAACAGATAAGATGAAATCAAAATAAAATCAGGTTAACAGGCTCAAGGAAACAGATCGATTCATGTGTGGTTAGTTTTCAACCAATGCTTCAAGGAGATTTTAAAACTTCTGCCCCTAACATGAGCTGGCAGAGTGTAACTTCTGGTTATAGACCTGCGGTTCATTTACTAAAGGTTATTTTGCTTATAAAATCTGTTAGAGGAGGAGGAGGAGGAAGTCCATTTAAAACTTTAAAAACGACACGCATCCAAATATATCTGACACTTATATTGTTCGTGGTGTTGGATCTGTGGATGTGAGGAGATTCCAGTCTGATGTTCTGTTCCCTCCAGGGAGGATGTACCTGTTCTACGGAAACAAGACGTCTGTACAGTTCGCCAGCTTCAGCACCACGGTCAGCTGCCCCGGAGAGCTCCAGAACCATATCCTTGGAACAGACCCAGAACTCTGGTCGGTGGGGCCCCCCTCTGATCAGACGGGCCCCCTGCTCAGGCAAGGCCTCCTGATTGGGTGGGGGCCCCTCTCTTTAATCAGAATCAGAAATACTTTAATAATCCCAGAGGGAAATTACTTTTGTTACACGCTCCAGTAACAGTTTTATATAATATATACACATGTCCAACCATACAGTATAATAAAGATTTTTTTTTTAAATGGCCGGGGGGGCCCCCCTCTCCTGATCAGACGAGGCCCCCATGGTGTGGCTCCTTAACTCGTTCCCACAGCTGAACGTTCAGAGCAAACCCGTGGAGCCGCTGGTGGAGGGAGGGGCCCAGATCCAGCAGGTTCTGAACATCGAGTGTCTGACTGACTTCTCTGATGCTCCACTGCTCAACATCAAGTTCAGGTAGGGGCCCCCGCCGCTCCTCATGGGGACGGTGTTTTGGTTCTGGGTGGATCAGCTGCTGTTCTATGTTCAGGTACGGAGGAGCTCTGCAGAACCTGACCCTCAAGCTGCCCGTCACCATCAACAAGTTCTTCCAGCCCACGGAGATGGCCTCCCAGGACTTCTTCCAGCGCTGGAAACAGCTCAGCCAGTGAGTGTCCTGGAGCCTCTGGGGGCCTCTGGGGGCCCCACGCTCAATCTCTACTGTTGGACCTCTGTCTCTACCATAGTCTGCCCCGGGGCCCCTCCTCCTTCCTAAAGCTTTGTTCCTCCTCAGGCCCCAGCAGGAAGCTCAGAAGATCTTCAAGGCCAACCACAGCATGGACACGGAGGTCATCAAAGCCAAGGTGGGTCCACACAGATTCTGGACCAGCTGGGTTCTGCTGCTGTCCTGTAGAACCTCTAACCTTGGTTCTGTTTGCAGCTGCTGGGGTTGGGAATGGCCCTGCTGGACAACGTGGACCCAAACCCGGAGAACTACGTCTGTGCTGGAGTGGTCCAGACCAAGAGCCAGCAAGTCGGCTGCCTGCTGAGGCTGGAGCCCAACGCCCAGGCCCAGGTACCGGTGCCGGTCGCTGGTCTTCCGTCTCTCTAACGGACCCGGTTGCTGGTCTTCCGTCTCTCTGACGGACCCGGTCGCTGGTCTTCCATCTCTCTGACGGACCCGGTCGCTGGTCTTTGGTCTCTAACAGACCCGGTCTCTGTGTTCCGTCTCTCTGACGGACCCGGTCGCTGGTCTTCCGTCTCTCTGACGGACCCGGTCGCTGTGTCCCGTCTCTCTGACGGACCCGGTCGCTGGTCTTTGGTCTCTAACGGACCCGGTCGCTGGTCTTCCGTCTCTCTGACGGACCCGGTCTCTGGTCTTCCGTCTCTCTAACGGACCCGGTCTCTGGTCTTCCGTCTCTCTAACGGACCCGGTCGCTGGTCTTCCGTCTCTCTAACGGACCCGGTCGCTGGTCTTCCGTCTCTCTAACGGACCCGGTCGCTGGTCTTCCGTCTCTCTAACGGACCCGGTCGCTGGTCTTCCGTCTCTCTAACGGACCCGGTCGCTGGTCTTCCGTCTCTCTAACGGACCCGGTCGCTGGTCTTTGGTCTCTAACGGACCCGGTCGCTGTGTCCCGTCTCTCTAACGGACCCGGTCGCTGTGTCCCGTCTCTCTAACGGACCCGGTCGCTGTGTCCCGTCTCTCTAACGGACCCGGTCGCCGGTCTTTGGTCTCTAACGGACCCGGTAGCCGGTCTTTGGTCTCTAACGGACCCGGTCGCTGGTCTTCCGTCTCTCTGACGGACCCGGTCGCTGGTCTTCCGTCTCTCTGACGGACCCGGTCGCTGGTCTTCCGTCTCTCTAACGGACCCGGTCTCTGGTCTTCCGTCTCTCTAACGGACCCGGTCTCTGGTCTTCCGTCTCTCTAACGGACCCGGTCGCTGGTCTTCCGTCTCTCTAACGGACCCGGTCGCTGGTCTTCCGTCTCTCTAACGGACCCGGTCGCTGTGTCCCGTCTCTCTGACGGACCCTGTCGCTGGTCTTTGGTCTCTAACGGACCCGGTCGCTGGACTTCCGTCTCTCTGACGGACCCGGTCTCTGGTCTTCCGTCTCTCTAACGGACCCGGTCTCTGGTCTTCCGTCTCTCTAACGGACCCGGTCTCTGGTCTTCCGTCTCTCTAACGGACCCGGTCGCTGGTCTTCCGTCTCTCTGACGGACCCGGTCGCTGGTCTTCCGTCTCTCTGACGGACCCGGTCGCTGGTCTTCCGTCTCTCTAACGGACCCGGTCGCTGGTCTTCCGTCTCTCTAACGGACCCGGTCGCTGGTCTTCCGTCTCTCTAACGGACCCGGTCGCTGGTCTTCCGTCTCTCTAACGGACCCGGTCGCTGGTCTTCCGTCTCTCTAACGGACCCGGTCGCTGTGTCCCGTCTCTCTAACGGACCCGGTCGCTGTGTCCCGTCTCTCTAACGGACCCGGTCGCTGTGTCCCGTCTCTCTAACGGACCCGGTCGCTGTGTCCCGTCTCTCTAACGGACCCGGTCGCCGGTCTTTGGTCTCTAACGGACCCGGTAGCCGGTCTTTGGTCTCTAACGGACCCGGTCGCTGTGTCCTGTCTCTCTAACGGACCCGGTCGCTCTGTCCTGTCTCTCTAACGGACCCGGTCGCTGGTCTTTGGTCTCTAACGGACCCGGTCGCTGGTCTTTGGTCTCTAACGGACCCGGTCGCTGGTCTTCGGTCTCTAATGGACCCGGTCGCTGGCCTTCCGTCTCTCTTAACGGACCCGGTTTCTGGCCTTCCTTCTCTAATGGACCCGGTTTCTGTGTCCTGTCTCTCTAACGGACCCGGTCGCTGTGTCCTGTCTCTCTAACGGACCCGGTCGCTGTGTCCTGTCTCTCTAACGGACCCGGTCGCTGTGTCCTGTCTCTCTAACGGACCCGGTCGCTGGTCTTTGGTCTCTAACGGACCCGGTCGCTGGTCTTTGGTCTCTAACGGACCCGGTCGCTGGTCTTTGGTCTCTAACGGACCCGGTCGCTGGTCTTTGGTCTCTAACGGACCCGGTCGCTGGTCTTTGGTCTCTAACGGACCCGGTCGCTGGTCTTTGGTCTCTAACGGACCCGGTCGCTGGTCTTTGGTCTCTAACGGACCCGGTCGCTGGTCTTTGGTCTCTAATGGACCCGGTCGCTGGTCTTTGGTCTCTAATGGACCCGGTCGCTGGCCTTCCGTCTCTCTTAACGGACCCGGTTTCTGGCCTTCCTTCTCTAATGGACCCGGTTTCTGTGTTCTGTCTCTCCAGATGTTCCGTCTTACCCTCCGCTGCAGCAAAGACTCCGTCTCCAGGCGTCTCTGTGAGCTGCTAGCGCAGCAGTTCTAGAGTCCAGAACAGAACCGGCCCCTCCCCCCTTCATTCCTCCACGGAGACGACCAGAACCTTCATAAGGGAAAGCGTCATGGTTCTGGTTTCTTCCTCTGCTTGTTTATTAACCCAATGATCTAGTTCTGTTGGTTCCCTGTAGCTGTGTGTCCCGTGATTCTGCTGGCTTCTCATCCTGACTGGTTCTGACATTTCATTCATCATTCCTAATGGGAGAACCAGGCTACCGGTCCAATCCCACTTTGCACTTTGATTCGCACCCATCTAGCATTCCTGCTAAACATGCACTTAAACAGCCCTGGTTCTGGTCCCCAGATCTGACCCCCTGGTTCTGGTCCCCAGATCTGACCCCCCTGGTTCTGGTTCCAGTGGATCTGCTTTTTAAATAGTTTGGACATTTTCCCCTCATGCTAGCTTGAACCGCTGCGGTTAGTTTTAGCTAGGCCTGTTTGCTTGGAAAGCTGTGGTTCTGTTAGCTCTGAACGCAGCAGTTATGCTAGCTCTGAACGCAGCGGTTATGCTAGCTCTGAACGCAGCGGTTATGCTAGCTCTGAACGCAGCGGTTATGCTAGCTCTGAACGCAGCGGTTATGCTAGCTCTGAACGCTGCGGTTCTGCTAGCTCTGAACGCTGCGGTTCTGCTAGCTCTGAACGCAGCGGTTATGCTAGCTCTGAACGCAGCGGTTCTGCTAGCTCTGAACGCTGCGGTTCTGCTAGCTCTGAACGCTGCGGTTCTGCTAGCTCTGAACGCAGCGGTTCTGCTAGCTCTGAACGCTGCGGTTCTGCTAGCTCTGAACGCTGCGGTTCTGCTAGCTCTGAACGCTGCGGTTTTGCTAACTCAGCCTGCTGCTCAGGGCGGACCAGAACCTCCCCCTCCTGCAGCACTACTCTGATCCTGTAGAACTGGAAGTTCATTGTCCAGAACAGAGCCGTGTTCTGGTTCTGGTCAGCTGACAGGAAGTGGAGGTTAGGAGCCTCTAGAACCTCCTCAGCTGTGGGAGGACTTCTTGGTCCGGTCCAACACTGCAGCCTCATTCCTCCCCATCTCAGCGGTCTAGATCATAAGGGTTCTGCGGCCCAGTTGGTTCTGTTCTTACGGCTCCAGTAGAACCTGGGGATCTTGGTCCTCCTCAGCTTCCAGCCTGACGTCCTTCCAGCTGCAGGGACTCCATCTGTTTCTGTGTGAACAGAAGAAGAAGAAATTTCCAAGATGGTGGCACTACATCCTGACGCTGCCCAGCAGCAGCAGCAGCAGGACTTTGACCTTTGGTAGAATCAGTGTTTAGTTCCTCATGTATCCATGTTCACAGCTGTCCTGTGATTGGCTAAGATTTACTCTGTAATGAAAAATGTGAAGTAAAATATGACGTATATCTGAACTGCTGCCTCCTGTCCTCCATCACCCAGTAAAACCAGAGTGAATAAACAGGGGCGGGTTCTACCGCTGCACCAAAACAACTCTGTAGAACATCTAGTGATTCTAAAGCATTGGCTCAGTTAGCATCTGACCAGAGCCCGGCCCGGTCCATGGAACAGCCTCGTGTTCTGGCCAAGTTCTAAACCAGCCGAGAGGATTCAGAAACATGAGACCCTTCCTCAGTCTGGGTCCACTGATGACGGAACACGAATCAAACCTAGAGCCCAGTTTGCTTCTGAGAGCGGGTCCATGGAACCATAGGTTCTACCAAACCAGATGGCACCAGGTCCAAGAACCATCCACACAAAGAAAACCACGGCCCGTCTGTGGAGCCCGGACCCCTCAGAACCAAGCAGTGTTGGTTCCTGAAGGAGGTTCTGGTTGAGAGGATCTGGACCAAAGCCGTGTTTCTGCTGAAACGGAACCGGAAAGAGTCAATAAATCTGGAGCTGAAGGTCCAAAAGTTAATAAAGCAAAATAAAATGGAATATATTTACATTAAGAACAATGAAAATACATAGATCTTTGTTTTCAGAATTGATCTCTCGCGTTTCCCTGCTTGTCCTCATAGGGGCCCTTTAGGAATGGCTGGGGGCCCCTTAATGCCTTTTTACTGGAACACAGCAGGGACAAATGGACCTTCTGGACTTCCTGTTTGTCCAAAGACATTTGGACATCGCTTCACAGATCAGATCAGTACAGAAGAACTACCTGGAGATGACATTGCGCGGCGCCGAGGACTGATCGGATTGGAATACTCCTCGTCATGCAGCCAATGAACGCGTCCATTTTGTCCGTGTTGAAGGACGGGTCCGCTGTATCCTCCGTAGCCTTGGGTATCCCAGGATTCATTGGGAGTCCAAACAAGCCGGTCTGCTGAGAATCGCATCTCCTGTCGCGGGAGCGGGCATTGCCCTAAACCTAAAAGCAAACAGAAATATGAATGAAAAGGAAACTTTTAAGCATATTCTGGATCTTTTCTTATTTCTTATGCATGGATGCCCTAAAATGTAGATTTTTGCTGAATAGATAAACTTGAAGGGAAACTAGCACATCGACTAAAACGTGTCTCCAAGTAAAACCAGTCAGTGTGTGATGAATATACAGGTGCTGGTCATAAAATTAGAATATCATGAAAAAGTAGATTGATTTCAGTAATTCCATTTAAAAAGTGAAACTTGTATATTATATTCATACATTACATACAAACTCATATATTTCAGATGTTTATTTTGTTTAATTTTGATTATTACAAATGACAACAAATGAAAATCTCAAATTCATCATATCAGAAAATTAGAATATTACTGAAGACCAATAAAAACAAAGGATTTATAGAAATGTTGGCCAACTGAAAAGTATGAACATGAAAAGTATGAGCATGTACAGCACTCAGTATTTAGTTGGGCCTCCTTTGGCCTGTATTACTGCAGCAATGCGGCGTGGCATGGAGTCGATCAGTCTGTGGCACTGCTCAGGTGTTATGATAGCCCAGGTTGCTCTAATAGTGGCTTTTAGCTCTTCTGAATTGTTGGGTCTGGTGTATTGCATCTTCTTCTTCACAATACCCCATAGATTTTCTATGGGGTTAAGGTCAGGAGAGTTTGCTGGCCAATTAAGAACAGGGATACCATGGTCCTTCAACCAGGTACTGGTAGCTTTGGCACTGTGTGCAGGTGCCAAGTCCTGTTGGAAAATGAAATCTGCATCTCCAAAAAGTTGGTCAGCTGCAGGAAGCATGAAGTGCTCTAAAACTTCCTGGTATGTGGCTGCGTTGACCCTGGACCTCAGAAAACACAATGGACCAACACCAGCAGATGACATGGCACCCCAAACCATCACTGACTGTGGAAACTTTACACTGGACTTCAAGCAACGTGGATGAAGTGCCTCTCTTCTTTTCCTCCAGACTCTGGGACCTTGATTTCCAAAGGAAATGCAAAATTTACTTTCATCAGAGAACATGACTTTGGACCACTCACCAGCAGTCCAGTCCTGTTTCTCTTTAGCCCAGGCAAGACGCTTCTGACGCTGTCTGTGGTTCAAGAGTGGCTTGACACAAGGAATGCGACAGCAGAAACCCATGTCTTTCATACGTCTGTGTGTGGTGGTTCTTGAAGCACTCACTCCAGCTGCAGTCCACTCTTTGTGAATCTCCCCCACATTTTTGAAGGGGTTTTGTTTCACAATCCTCTCCAGGGTGCGGTTATCTCTCTTGCTTGTACACTTTTTTCCACCACATCTTTTCCTTCCCTTCGCCTCTCTATTAATGTGCTTGGACACTGAGCTCTGTGAACAGCCAGCCTCTTTAGCGATGACCTTTTGTGTCTTGCCCTCCTTGTGCAAGGTGTCGATGGTCGTCTTTTGGACAACTGTCAAGTCAGCAGTCTTCCCCATGATTGTGTAGCCTATAGAACTAGACTGAAAGACCATTTAAAGGCTTTTGCAGGTGGTTTGAGTTAATTAGCTGATTAGAGTGTGGCACCAGGGGCCATCAATTTTGAACCTTTTCACAATATTCTAATTTTCTGATATGATGAATTTGAGATTTTCATTTGTTGTCATTTGTAATCATCAAAATTAAACAAAATAAACATCTGAAATATATGAGTTTGTATGTAATGTATGAGTATAATATACAAGTTTCACTTTTTAAATGGAATTACTGAAATCAATCTACTTTTTCATGATATTCTAATTTTATGACCAGCACCTGTATTCTCTGCTCTGTGGAGCTTTTTCTATCAACACCATTCTAGATTATTTCTTCTGGAACCTGCCGAAAAATCCCCCCCCCCCCCCCGCCTATTTTCTCATTTATTCTCGGACTCACAGAATAGAATTCTTAATAGATTATGAGGGAAAACTTAGATCTTAGAATATGTTTAAAAGTTCCCTTTTCGTTCATAGTTCTATCCGTTTTCTCTTGGCAATTCTCGGCATAACACTGGCTGCTCTGTGCTCAGAGGAAAAAGAGAAATGGCGCCGAACAGTGGTGAATATTGGAAGTGCAGTTTACAGCAAAAGTGGTCACACAAATGTGGACCAAATGTGGGGGGTAAATATCTTATTTAATCAGACAGTATTTCAGCTGTTATATACTGTTTATGACACACAGTCCTACTAACTGTGTTAGAACAATAAATGAAAGAGTGATTCGAGCACGAATCATGGTCAAACAGTTATTTCTACATAAAATAAATTCACCACAACTTCTGTTCCAAATTTTAGATTTTATTAACAAAAATCATTCAGCTCCAAGTCAAACGTATTTCAGTTTAACACTCTCAACTAAGACTAGTAAAACTCAACTAACTACTATGTACAAAGAGAAAGGGAAACATGGTTTAAAACCATATTACAGTTTCAGATGGATTCTGTGTTTGAAACCAAAGTTTATCTGGAAGAATTTGGGATCTGATCAAATTAGCTATTATTTGGCCAAATAATGTTTTATTCAATGATTTGCTTAATCAAGAACCAAAAACCTTTAGTTAAACGATTCTTTACCCTCTTTGAAATAGCTAGCAGCGAATAGACATCAGGATTCCACTAAATGACTCTTGGTCAGACTTGGTAATGGAAATGTAACGAGCATCTGAGGAACATATGAACACTAATGTTACATCAGTGTTTAAATCCTTAGTGAATAAAGCTGGTCTAAGCTTCAGCAACAGCTCAACACATATTCCTGTAGCATAGCGTAGCATGCAGTCCATCCTGTTAGCTTTGTCTTTACTCATCAGTAAACATGTTTGTTCTGTCCCTACTCATGCCAGACCACTAGCAGCCTCTTGGAGTTAACAGCCAGACGCAGGGAGTTCCAAATCAGGGAGTTCTTCAAAATAAATCATAAATTTGCCACTAGGTGTCACTGCTGGAGCAATGTACAAAAAGAGGAATTGTATAATTTAGTAGTCATTTACACTCCCACCGATCTCGATGATTGAACAAAGTAACATGTAAAGGGTACATTAATTGAACAGGATTTCATGATTCTACTAAATGAATATGGTTGCATAAAAGTAGCATAGAGTAAATTAACAGCACAAAAGTTGTTCTGTTCTCATCAATTTTCCAAAAGAAGAACCATTTTCTAGATTGGCCTCTCAATAACTAAGGATTTAGAAGAAGAATTGGACTTTCGCTCTCCAACTTGAACTTTGACTCGATGGACCGATCCATTGCTGCTTTGAACAGTTTCCACCACTCGTCCTGGTTGCCATTGATTTCTTGGAAGGTTGTCGTCTTTGATAATGACAATGTCATCTTTCTTGAGGTCTCAACATAATGCCAATGATTAGGATCACTGTTATCTATAATCAGTTGAACACGATTGGCAACGAATATGTGGAACCTGCGAGAGTCATTATTGATGGAGTACAACTTATGACCAATCTTTGATCAATCTTCAGGTCAAGTTCACATCTTAGCATAACGCTGACCTTTGTAGAAACCACTGCTGCTGCAAGTTCTAATCGTGGAATACTTGTGATCTTTGTGGGAGCAACCCTTGCCTTTGCTATCACAAGAGTGCAGTGGACTTCATTCTTATCATTTATGTATCTCAGGTAAGAACATGCACCATATCGTCCCATCCTATGCCTCTGTGACAAAGCTCTTGAAGAATAAGTTTTCCACTAAGGCTGAATGGAGCAATGAATCCAAGAGGATCATAAAGCGAAGCAATAATGGACAAGTAGCTGCGGCGGGTTGAAGGTTGATCCTTTAATCCGATGTTAAAAATGAAGGGGTTATTTTTTAATCAACCACTGAAGCTCTGATGAGGCTGGATCCAAACCACTCTGCTACTTCTGAAGGATCCAAACAGGCAAGAGCAGCTTCCTTGTTTGAGTTGAATTTGTGAAGCCATAAGCCTCTTTTTTTTAGACAATTCTAGTGACTCAATGATCAGTTTATGGCTTCCTCAACTGATGGCACACCAACTAACTAAGCCATCAT